AAAAAAAAAAGACAGAAGCAAAAGTCAAAAAGATAGAGAATTTGGGTATTACTACCATATAGTGTGTGGGGAGGATAATATCACATGGCTCTTGAATACGTGGAGGAGGGGTTTGCCGATAACAATGGAGGAGACAAAGCCCACATTGATGCCGGACCACATGCCATTGCTTTATGCTGCACTACATTCTAAAAGAAGTCACATGAAGGATGAGTTCATACCCTTTATTTTTTATTTTTTTATGTTATTTAAGTACCATTGCATATTTGAATTCTCTTTTTCCTTTTTGGAAGAGGAAAAGAATTCCAGTAACATTAAGAAATTAAATTTCTAAATCGAACAAAGTGATGGTTATAACAACCGATTATTAATATGGAGGATAATTTTTCAAAAAAAGAAATATACTAGTACCAGAAGAATGCTGTAGACTATATAAAAAGACCAAAGACATGAGTAGTTACCGTTGCTTTTCACGGTGGATTTGTGTCTCTTATGATGCCGCTGGCCCATGCCTCCTGAAGGTTGCCATGATTCCAAATTGGCAGTCTCCAGAAAAAGGACCGGACACAATCATGACCCAAAAGGTCCATCCTTTTGTTGTGGGCTAGGCCTACAGGGGAATCACGATGCTGTAGGTAGCGACGTTTTGATCCTCTGATCAGAAATCCAACGCAAATCATGGAACTTTGTCACTGAATGAATTGACGCAACAAAGGCCGAATTACAAAAAGGAAAAAAAAAAATAAGAAAGAAAAACAAGAAAGCAACACCTAAAATGATCCAACTTTATCCCCTCCAGCCACCTTATAATTGTTCTTTTGTGTCTCAAGCTCCTATTATTGTGAATTATGACATATATATATATATATATATATATACAAGTTACATAATTATTCAAAATTTTCATACAAGTTAAGTGTGGCAACTTTGGACTAGATAGTGATAGCTAATTAGATCTTATTAAATACTTAAATATTCGTATATGTATATTCAAGGAAGAAATGAAAAGTGGATAAATAATAAAAATTCGATGAATATTGGTATATACCTTTTGGAGAGTTGCCTCTTGTTCCTATCCACATGTCACCCAATGAGCAGATAAGAGTGCCATTAAATCACTTACTCATATATCATCATGGATGGGTCGATACACTGGAACACGAAATGCTATATATCCTAATAGATCTTTGTGGGACAAGGGAGCACAAAATTTGATGCCTTTGGTGTTTTGAAAAATATGGCAAAAGAGAAATTCCCGTAGTTTTCGATATCCTGTCTGTTTGATGCAACATTTTCCACGTACTGTCTTTTATCTCGACATGTTTTTAAGTTTGCTTCATGTACAATCTTTTTCCGTCTTTTAATCTGGTTTCCACCATCGTTTTGCTAACCCAAGCAACACGGAAATCCATTTCCTTTTGAAAACCCAAGGTGGGATGATTTTTTTTTAACTTTTCTTTGACGAAGTTGAACTATAGAAAAGTTAATACTTGATCAACTACCGAACGTAAGTCCATGAATCAATGACAGAAGATGGGAACCCACTATAGGAGAATTGCCTTTTCACTCTTTCATTGTTGGTCATATTCTAGATGTTCGTTACAATTACAGATGGGGGAAATAATGATAATCAAAATAAAAAAAAAGGGAAAAAAACTCTTTGGGCAATTAATTGTTTATATTTAACAGGGAAAATGAAAGATAATAAAACATTTGAAGTCTTATATTCCATTAACATAAGGAGAGAAGGGAGGTTAACAAGAAAAAGTTTGGTCATTAATTATTCTTTTAATATGTACTCAGTAAATTAAAAAAATATGGAGAACACGGAGATCAGTTTCAAAGAAAATGGATAGCAAAACGAAGTAGTGGGAAATTAATGGGAAAGACAATCAACCAAATAACACCAAACTATACCAGAATCATTTGAAAAATCCCTTATTTGTTTCAAAGAGTTTGGACGCAAAAATTTAACAGACTTGAACATTAGAACGACCGTAAGTAGCTGTCATTTAGTAGTTGAACCACCGCTTAAATAAGCCTCCAATCAGCTCAACTCCCAGCCAACTACCATTCCTCCTCCATGTTTCATATACCTTCTATCCCCATTCCCCACCTCCATGCCAGTCCATTCCTCAAACCCTTGAGCATCACATATTCACATCAAAATATCTGTGGAATTCACCAAAAACAGAAATGGCAAGCAACAAGTCGCGGGAAGGCGATGAGCGTGCTGGGGCAGAGATCGTGTATGGGGCCGATGACTGCTACCGCCACTCCATAGAGCTCCTGGAGGAGCTGGGGTTCCCTAAAGGTGTCCTTCCTTTGCAAGACCTGGAAGAATGTGGTAGAGTTAGGGAAACGGGGTTCGTCTGGATGAAACAGAAGGCCCCCTACGAACATTTCTTTGCTGGGACAAATACTCGAGTAAGCTATGCAATGGAGGTTACTGCGTACGTAGAGAAGTTTAAGATGAAGAAAATGACTGGGGTTAAGAGCAAACAGGTTTTCTTGTGGGTGCCCATAACTGAGATGAGCATCGAGGACTCTGCCAGCAACAAAATATACTTCAAGACTCCGATGGGGATCGGTAAATCTTTTCCCATCACGGCTTTCATGACGGATGAGGAGAAGCACAAATATCTGGAAGAGAAAGCCAAGAAATGAGATCCTCTTCTCTAGCCTCCTACAGGACCATTAATGCTTCGGAATATTGCTCACTTCGACTCAGTGAGGATACAAATAAACAATTTATTTATGCTGTTAAACTCGTTGATTGATTACTGCAATTTCTATGCCTTGATTTTCTTATGAATTTGATCACAAGCCTAGTTTTTTCCTCAGCATTAAGTACATCGTTTATGACTTTTGATTAATGTTGTCCATGGATGAAGATTAAAAATCTAATCCTTCCCATAGAATCACTTCCTTCGACTCTTAAAAACGGAAATCCTTGAATCACTGAATACTAAAAAATTAAACTCAAACAATCGGAATTCGGTCAAACTTGAAAGATCTGTAAACAAAGGCAAATTAAGTGTGGTAGCCTGGCCATGGCCCCCGTACCAGTCCTTCCTATTAGTATTAATTTTCAGTAATTGCGTTTCTCTTGCTATTTATCCATCAAAATTGAGTACTCCGTTTAATATGCTCTACTTGGCTATATTTTTCATTGAGACGGAAACAACAATTGTATAATAAACGTGAGAATATGGATAACAATTTCTTGTCATCTGT